GCTCAAGGCAAGGAAGCTGATGGAAGCATGCAACCTGTTTGAGAAAATGGTTGATGACGATGGTGTCAGGGCCTCTTGCTGGACCTATAATATTCTAATTGATGGGTTGTTTAAAAATGGAAGGGGAGAGGCTGCTTATACTATGTTTTGTGATTTGAAGAGAAAGGGCAATAATTTTGTGGACGGGATTACTTACAGCATAGTCATTTTGCATCTTTGCAGGGAGGGTCAGCTTAAGGAAGCATTGCAGTTGGTAGAAGAGATGGGCGCCCGGGGATTTGAAGTAGATTTGGTTACTGCAACGTCACTTTTGATTACAATTCATCGAGAAGGTCAATGGGATGGGGTGGAGAGGCTTATGAAGCACATTAGGGATGGGAATTTAGTGCCTGCTATTCTTAAGTGGAAAACAAATATGGAGACTTCGCTGAAAAATCCAGAGAGCAAAACAAGGGACTTTACCCCCATGTTTCCATCTAATGGTGATTTTACTGAGATTTTAAGGGACACAAATTTAGCTGGGACAGGAAATGATGCTGAGCTTAGTGCAGAGGACATCAAGCTACAAGTAGATGAAACTGACGAGTGGTCATCTTCCCCCTATATGGATCTGCTGGCAAACCAAATCGGCTCAAAGAATCATTCTTATCAACCTTTCTCTCTTTCAAAGGGGGTACGAGTTGAGGCTAAAGGTTTAGATTCTTTTGACATCGACATGGTCAATACCTACTTATCTATATTTTTGGCCAAGGGAAAATTGAGTTTATCATGCAAGTTATTTGAAATATTCACCAATATGGGCGTTGACCCTGTCAGCTACACTTACAATTCCATGATGAGTACATTTGTCAAGAAAGGATACTTCAAGGAGGCTTGGGGTCTTTTCCATGCCATGGGTGAGACTGTTTGCCCTGCAGACATAGCGACATACAATGTTATAATTCAAGGCTTAGGAAAGATGGGAAGGGCAGATATCGCCTGCGCTGTTCTGGACAAACTATTGAAGCAAGGTGGTTATCTTGACATTGTAATGTACAATACTTTAATTAATGCACTTGGGAAGGCTGGCCGGATTGATGAAGCAAACAAGCTATTTCAACAGATGAAGACCAGTGGACTAAATCCTGATGTTGTCACTTATAATACGCTTATCGAAGTTCATAGCAAGGCTGGTCGGTTAAAGGAAGCTTATAAGTTCTTAAAGATGATGTTGGATGCTGGATGTGCACCAAACCATGTTACTGACACAACTCTTGATTTTCTGGAGAAGGAAATTGAAAAACTCAGATACCAGAAGGCTTCGATTAGACGCACTAAACTGGACAATTCATTATAAAGAACAAATTTATTACCGGGTTTATTGAGGTACACTCTCATCTTTGTGCATCAGTACGTCGTGCTTGTGGCATAGTTGCAATTAGACATCTCTTAAAAACTGTATTTTATTGTGATATTATTGAATAATTTAGAACGTATGGACTAGTTTTTTGTAAGGAAATATATTTAGGGTGTATTTGTTTCCCGTTATTGGGTGAAAAATAGAGTAATGAATAGTATTTTTTGGAGAATGTGTGATTGAAATTTAAAATAACTTTATTGATTTGTTTGTAGAATATTTTATTGGGTGAATGTGTGGAGGAAAATCTTACTGTAGCAATTTTTTTTTTAAATAATGGTAGACAAACAAGGATTTAGCTTCAAGATGCAATTAAACAACAATTGTTAAGGGGTCGTTCTCTTTGTATTTCAGTTTTGTGTTTTGAGTTTTGAATTCATTTTGTGTTTTGTGTTTTGAGTGTCTGTTTTGAAATTTCTGAAAATGCGTTCTTTTTGTTTCTGAAAACATAAAAATGGAAAACGCGTTTACTTTGAAATTTTGAGAATTTTTTTTAATAATATTTTATTCAAGAAATCTGATTATTCAATAAGTTTTAATAGTTTAATGTTAATATAATATTAAATAACATAAATTTTGAAGTTGGTGAATCTTGAAATATTTTTTTCCAAATATAAAAAACATAACCTAAATTAAATTTGGCAAATCCTTATTTTTGTCCTCGTACGTAACTTGTGACAATAATTAAGTAGCATCAAGTCACAATCAAACATAATCAAATACAATTTTGATCGTCTAAGCACGATAACTATCATAAGTNGACTCTTTTCACCACTTCGAAATTGAAAAGAGAGAATTGTTATTAGAAAAATGAAGTGATAAAAAAATGTATGTCATCCATCCATCCAGCTAACAGAATCACAAAGCAAAGATCTGAATTGTCTCATTCCACATACAAATGATGGGAAATTCACAAACCAATATTAAGCAATAAATTGGGGAGTTTCGGAAGAAATTAATTCAACAGAAATTCTCAACAAAAAATTGAATTCAGTTTCACAACCATTCTCTCTTTCCAGTGCTTATTAAGAAACTTATGCAAGAGCCAACTGTTCTACAAAGCTGGGTACCCTTACATTTACATAAATTATGTCTCTCCATGTATATCAATTTGCTAACAGAAAGCTACACATTTTGCATATTCCTTGTTGAATAATCTGAGATTATAGTTTGAACCCTTCAACTCTGGAAGCCCTTTGCCTCCTTTTGACCGATTAACAAAGGAGCTGATGTGGGTAAAGGAACAACCAAGGCTCTATCCTCATTGGATTGTTCTGGTGTTCCAAGGCTCTGTCCTCATTGGATTGTTCTGGTAATCTGGTAAAACCAGATTACAGCTTTCATTCCACAACACTTGCCACTTGATTATGCAGATTTCTCGATCCTAGTTTCCCAAAAAGGTTTAGAAGGAAACCAATTAAAATTCATCTTGGATATCTTGCCTATTATTTGTATTTGCTATAACATTCACATGAACCCCCCTTCCACTCACCCCCAGAAACCAAAATCATAAAACAAATAATAATAAGAAATCAACACAACTACACATGTGCACCAGAACTACATTAAGAATATAAGATAACTATCAAAAACTTAACTCTCAAAGAATAACAGACTTCATACTCTGACACTCAGAGAGAAGTTCATTAAAAAATAGAAAAGAACTCTGTCAGCAAACATTCTGTAAAAAATGTCAAAAGGACAAAGCTTATTTTCATCTTATTATCTCAAACCCTCAATATAAACCCTTCATAAATAACAGAGCCAACTTAATTTATGAAAGCTAGAAGCTTCAATTACCTTAACTATTGTATCCAAAGCCAGCATATATGAAAATTTCATGATTTTAGCACACAACAAACGTCCCTAGTATCATAATTTCGTGAAATTACACACACTACAGACATAAATTAATACCCAATTTAAGGATAATTTGAGATTAGACCACAAACACAGGACGATCAAAAGAATTGTCAAATAAACCATTGCATTACATCATTTCGCAAACAAAAAGATAAAAATTGAAAAAAAAATCCATAAATTTAGAACCACAATTAAAAATTTTAATCAGCACTCTCACCGCATAACCACACCTAATAATATAATTGTCGTCCATCACCAACTATGATAGAGAATAACAAGCAAAGAACCAAAGATTAATGCAAGTAAAGAACCAAAGATTATCATAGGCGAAACCTTGATTGAAACAGCCCGTAGAGAAACCTTCGATTTGGCAACACGAGCTCAAAACCTTGATTGAAAGAGCCCGCAAAGAACCCTTCGATTTGGCAACACGAGCTCAAAGGAATTTTGGGTTGTGGGTTTTTGAGAGAGGAAAAGGAGTAACCAGAGAATACCTTGTTATAGGTGAGTGGAGAGAGAGGGAAGCTAAGTGAGAAATGTCATTTCCCGTGTTTTGGCTTCAGTTTTGCCAAAACGTGGTTTCGGTTGTTTTCTGTTTTCAATGGGTTTTTTTTTCATTTTTGAAAACGCGTTTTCGAAAATAGGAAAGAGAATGCGTTTTCACTGTTTTGGAAAATTGAAAATAGAAAATAGCTTAAAAAGGGTAAAGAGAACAAGGCCTAATTGTTTTGTATGATATGGGATTGGTGGAGTTATGTAAGCTGTATGTACTAGTTTATAGGAAAATATTCTTTAGAGGTTTGAAATTTAGGGCGTGTTCGATAGAGATTAAAATCGGATTAAAATTGAAAAATTGACCGTTATTGTTGACTTTTATTAGACGAGTGAGATCCAATAATGATTATATTTTCAATTTTAATTGGATTTTAAATTGTACCGAACATGCCCTTAAATTACATAATTTTGGTTCAAAATATCTCTCGAGTATGAATGCTAACATTCCCTTTTTATTTTTTTTAATGCCAAATGCAAAAGTATAGAAAGATTGGGTTTACTCTGAGATCTGTACCTTCTTGTGACAGTTTTGTTAAGGTAAATTAGACTGTACTTGAGAAAGAAAAGGAATTTTAAATCTTGCTTATTATATTTTTGTATCCACTAAATATTAATGCATTCTTCCAAACGAATGACATTGTTTACTCAGTGAAAAAATAAATATTGAACGAGTGCAAAGCCTTCCAAATCAGAAGTATAACAATAGAAGCACTCTTTCTATAATTTGGATGAGGTTAGGTTATCGATCTTCTCCCAGACAGTCCTAAGCATTTGAATAGAAGTTCAGTGGATCATTCTCTTCGGTTCATTTCATGCTATTTTAGCAAAGATAATCACCCAGATGAAAATAGTTTCAAGAAAAGAATTGTTTCACATATATCAATAGATGCTGATTGATACATTCTAGGTATATACTAGGAGCAATCAATAAATGTGTAGAACATATGCTAATAGAAAACTCCAACTTTAGCACCAACACTTGTACTTTTGCTGCTAATTTCAGCAACAACAAAAAAATGGTTCTTGTACAGAATAAAGAGTCGGTCACAATCCACGCACGCCAAAGTAAGTAAAGCACGACACCGTGCCAAGCAATGTGTGTGTGTATATATACACATGCAATGCTAGTTACACGGTACAAGGTTGTATTGTATGCATTACAATCAACCAAAAAGTTACGAACACATTAGTCCCTTCCCACACCAAGAAGCCACTGCGCAAGATGAGTCAGATATGGCTCTGCACGAGAACTGCTGCTCAAGATTGGTCCTAAACTCCGAAGCTCAGCAGTAAATTCCCTCTCAAATTTCCTGCAAAGTTTGCACGTCAAGCAATATGGGAGTAAATTCCCTCTATATTTTCCCGCAAATTTAGCATGTTAACTAATATGTGTGTGAGTGAATTCCCTCTCAAATTTCCTGCAAATTTTGTAAGTTAACTAATGTGTGTGTGAGAGAGGGAGGGAGGGTCTCAGTAAACAATTACAGTATGGATTCGATGACTGTCGCATTTTCAGAAGCTACTTTCTGTATCTGAGACGGTATCCTTAGTTTCAGTTGCTTGTACTTTTTGACATTTGGAGAACCATCAGTCTTGGGAGTGTCATTTGAATAGGTAATTAACCACTGAGTAGCCGATGCATATTGAAGGCAAATCAGTTTCATCCTCTCCACCTTCTGCGTCAAGGGAATTCATCATTAGATAAAGTGAATGTGGTACGAGTAGCAATGAAATTTAGAGTCCAAAACTTATTTCCCTTCCCAATATTAGGACTTAGAGCAATGACTCAACTACGAGTCAACAATTAAAAAGGTGTATAATTAAAAAAAAAGTCCTACAGTTTCTCTTGAAATTTTTTCTACATGACAAACTATTAAGTGATGAGCGTGACCAACCTTGAGAAGAACAGGTGAAAGAAGCAAACATTCTCTCAGACACTTCTCGAGGAAAAAATTGTGGTACTGTATAACCTACTTCATGGAATAGGCCAAAATGAAAAGGGATTAGAATATACACGTGTCATATAGCAAAAAAATAAAAATGCTTTTTACTAGTTCAGCTTTGTTCCTTAAAGAAGTCTGTCAAAAAACACATTCTTCATACCTCGTCAATGCTCTTTGCAGTTTGAAGTCTGTTATGCATCACGTGCCAATTTGGCTCAAGAACCTGTTCGAAGACATAATGCATTGAAAACAATATTCGTAGCCTAGTCTTGCAATAGATTTCAGGGAAAATGCTAAAATGGGATCAATGCAAAAAAATCATTATGTAGATTCTTCATTTTTCATCAGATTAACACATTTAGCCTCCGTTTGGCAATTTATCAACGATTTATAGATCATTTATAAATTATAAAACTTCTTTTTTCAACCACACATTCCAATGGATCCACAATTACTATCTACTTATCCACCACTTATTTTTACCTATTTATGAATTAAACCATTTAAATTCTTCCCAAACGGAGGCTTAACAATAGAATATTGCATTGCTACAATGCTACTACATGCCACAAACTAGCTATTCTATAACATTGGAAATCAACCTTAACATAGGAAATTAACTCAAGATCCCGGCCACAAGGAATATGAAAGGGGAAACTGTGTTCTCTAGCATGCACCATTCATACATTACCATGGATATAAAATAGAAAGAAAGAGAAAACAGCATTCAAAACTTCAAAGGGAAAAAAGATTAAAGTATTGTGAGGAAAGACTTGCCTCAAAAGTCAGATAATGCAGAAGGCTATTTATAAACTTAAGCATATTACGACACAGCAGAGATGAAACGGAGATAGCTATCCCTTGCATGTCAAGTCTGCGGAGGCCCTAAAAATGGAAAATAATAGTTCAGACCATTTTTGGGGGAAAATAAAGAAGCTATAGGGCCAAAGATTGAAATGATCCCGTTTCATACTTGATGTAGTTGCCATGCTGCACAGAGTTGCCTGTTGACATGCTTACAGTGAAACAGAGAGCGAAAAATCAGCTGGTATTTTGTTAAGGACTTTCTTGATATGACCAGGGATAATGGCCATCGAACCTGAAACACAAAAAATAACCTTTCCATAACAATTAATGAAACTAAATTACAAAAGGGAGAACCACTCAAAGAGACCAAATTTCCTCAAACTCTTGACCAGCAGTTGCTGTAACTAATAGCAAATCTTGTTAATACATTGTTGCCATCTAACTCATATTTTTCAGCATGAGAACTGGTGAAGAAAAATTGAAGGACTAGCAGCAACTACTCCTAGAAGTGAAAGAAGATAGTTGTGTTGCTTTGAAGTGTAACATATCCAAGGAAATAAATCATAAATAACAGCTGAACCACAAATAATACATTATAGGAGTTAGAGCTATAAAATTTGCTGGGACCAAAGGACAGGAATAAGAATTAATAAAGAAAGGGAAAGGAAAAAGAATAGAACATACAGACCTTGTAACTCAGAGAAAATGTTTCCAAGCCTGTAATGCTCACTGGTTCTTCTAAATCACTACTGCTGGAAACAGTTTGGCTGATTTCAAGATCTTTGAGTGTACTCAACCTTTTCAATAATGTGGTTTGCTCCTGGAAGAGAAATGGCAAATTTTATAATTCATATGGATCAAATATAGTTGTGTGATTTAACTAGTAAAAAATTTAGCACTGACCACACAACATGTTAAGTCCTCGTGGAAGGGATCTGCTACAGCTGCTGTTGATCGCAATGCAAGGTCCAGCAGGGACTATTGAACAGGAAGAAAACATGCATGATAATTTTTTACCAGTATAAGAAATTGTAACGATAATGGGTTTTAATTTCTTTTTACATGAAGTATGTGACCAAGAGCAACTATACCTGCAGCTTTTCCACAGAAATTTCATCTGGCTTTTTCATGAGCTCCTCTCGAGCTATATCCATAAAGTGAACTAAAAAATCACCCTGCAAATATTAATAAGATATATACGAACAATATACTGAGAAGTCATGACCTCCAAAAAGATAAATCAGACCCAACATTAGAAGCCAATACCAAGTATAAATCATATAGAGACTACAATTGTCCAAAATAATTAAAGAACAGTGTCGGATAAAACATGTATATACAAAGAGGAGCCTCAAAATTTTGCTCGTTACCTAATTGACCTTCACTAAATTATGTAATAAAAATTTTGCTTGTTTCCTAATTGGCCTTCATTAAATTACGTAATAAAAGAGAACACAAGGCAAAGAAGTCTTCTGTAGCTTCCCTTATTTCTGCCTCACTCAACATCCCAAGCTTACTGGTTGAGATGACAGATGAGTATCAAATGTGGTCATCTCGACTGAAGTGATACTAGTAACTATCTCTGTTTTCAAATTGTTATCTTCCCGTTGACGACAAAATGGATAAGTATCATAAAAATACTTTATTATTCTCAAACGTAGATAATTTTGGGATGTCCCAAAATGGAAAGTTTAGCAATTGATGGCAGGAGTACAAACCAACTAAGCTTTATTCCCAATAAGCTTGAAATTTAATCAGAACTGATTATACAAGGTGTTGAATTACGGCTTAATCTTTATTGAATCGTAATTTACTCATATGACCTGTTGGCTTAATATTTCTATAATTTGATTGATTTTAAATATCCCATCTACTCTAGTAAACATGCACAATAACACTCTCTTACTTGGTTCATCAAGCATCTTTTATTATTTAATTAAGATGAAAAATATCGTCAACCATAAAATACTGAACTGGTCTTTTTCTCATCTTCATCCTCCTCGTGGCCTCTGTCAGTTTCAACTAGTTAACATTTCTACTTCAACGGATTTGTTATGTCCAGGTTATGCGTTCCATTAAATATTATTTCAAATAGTTCCTCCATCTTCTAATTAATCCCATCACCATGAAATGGGTCAACAGATTGCTCCCCATCCTCAGTTCAAAGGACTAAAGGAGTTATACAAAAATATAATGGAAATGATTGTGCAAATGTGTAAGACCTAGCAGCCTGCAACTGAAGTCGTAATTAGATCTCCAAGAACACTAGCGTGCTTTTGGTCACAATCCTTGGGCAGATCTACTCAACATACTTCATATCTTCTACCTTAGTGATTTGAGTAGTTAAATTAATAACGAACAAACCAGTTGGTAAATCCAATGACTCGCCTAAAAATAATGATTTTCTGCAGCATATCAATTGTACACATAAGATTCCAAAATCCCACCTCTACCTTAATAACATATAAATAAGCTTTGAGTCACAATCCTAATTAGTTCATTTGTGAGTAGCCCATACCTGATCAAGAAGAAGATAGTGTTTGATTGACCTCAGTTTTCCCATCAAGTCATACTGGTAATAACATAAAGAAAAATCATCAAAAAAGGAACTTTACATCATAAGTTAAAAGCACTTGCAGTGGTCAACAAAACACAGAAGGTATGAACACCTTCTCTTTTACGAGATTTAATAGCTCGCCGCTGGCAAAATCATAAGCAGCTTTGATACACTCACGATAATGATGACTGGATCCAACGCTCGTCAACTTTGAATTTTCTGCCATGGGGACCTACTGATAACAGCTTGATCAAGAGCCTGTATTCATATATTGAAGACAAATAAATACTGTAGTTGCAAGAGAATCATGAAGTAAACCTGAATATTGTGCCCACATTCTTTCATGACATTTAAATATTTCCCAGTGGTCAAAATTGTTTCAGCAGCATTTGCAAGGAAACTAGGGATGTCACCTTTCAGGCTGTAACGTTGTTGCCAATATTTAGCATCGTAATCTTGAGTCAGACTTTCCTATTTAAAGTTCAACATGGTTAGCTCCTAAGGTTCAAGTCCAACGGATCTTGGGTTTACAATAAGGCCATACCTTTTGGAGAGACTTGTTCTCAGCAATGAAAAATTCACCATAAGGATCATCAATCACTCCTTCATAGACCCACCTGAATAAAAATAATTTTGCTTAGTGATAGTGCGAAAGATAAGACTTGCTATTGATCGTGCACATATATTTTTAAGAACATAGAGTATTTCATTAGCAATTTAAAGGAAGATTAGGGCAATGGATCAGCAAAGCCTGGAAGATAAATGTTAAACACTGTCATATACCTCACATACATTAACTGACTCTTATTATACCTTAGTTTAATCTCATTACATCTTTTTTTTTTTGGTAACCGTGGATGTTCGGGCTAGTTTGCGCGCACCTCGACTAATCTCACGAGACCCTGAAATTTACGAGCGGATACTCACCTCAATGGCCCTGAGGGGACTCGAATTGGTGATCATTGGAGAGCAAGGTCTGACCAATTGAGCGACCCCTCAAGGTTTTAATCTCATTATATCTACAATTCATTAAACACAGGATTTAGAAATGACACTTTCTTTTTTAAAATATCTATTTTGCTGTATAGAGATATTTGATTTCATTGACATCAAAGTTTGTCTTCCACCGAATTCTTGATGGAAGTTTCCTGCATCCGTTTCTCAATCTGTTTCCTGTAATAATTTAGATGCACACAACAGCTGCGAATAACATAATTTATTTTTATCTATCACATCTCTACCTCACTATGACATCATCAAATTGCTGCAAAACCCTTGTTCCATATACAATTGTTACGAATGGAATTCAAATATCATATGCAAACTGCAAGCCACATACAGGGAGGAAAAGGAAAGTGAAAGAATCATCAACTCCAACCCCAACTTCAACCACATTAACATATATTATCATATGCATTCTTGTTTGATAGCAGAAAATAAGAAACCATGGCTGAAGATGAAATTATATCTTCACAAGCACGTTAACATATATGATCATAGGTGTGCATGTGAATAAGGGGTGAGGTGGGCGAGAGAGAGAGAGAGAGGTTTCGTGTGCATAACATTGTGGTTGCTAAGGCTTTAAGTGCAACGAATACCTCTCTAATATTCCAAGATATGCTGTGCTTGTGCATTGTGTCATCTTTTCCAGCAGCGACCTGACTACATGGTCACCAGCCATGGCCTTGGCCTAGAAAAGGAAAGATTTAGTCAACATATATGAATATCAAGGCAACTGACAAAGCTATTGATATTAGACCTCTTAAATGATAGTGACTATGTAACTCATACCTGGGTGTGCAAGAGGTTAAGAACAGCAGAACCAGTAAAATTATTAGCTGAAGCCTTCTTTATCACTATGGACAAAGCTTGCATTGAGCCCATCATTGGCTGTAATAAATGATAAATAACAAGCTGAGATAAAGGTCATCATGTGGGAACAAGTTGTTAAAAGTAAAGGGATGTCACAAGTAAGACCTGACAATAAAACCATAATCCTTGAATAGAAAGTCTTCCCAGTCGAAACTGATGTTCGAGCTGAGCCACCATAGCTTGGTAATCCTAAAATAGAAATTAATAGATAATATTAGTTTCCCCCTTATATTAATTCATCCAGTAACACAGAGATAATCAGTCCTTCCCAGAGCTTACTAGTTGAGTGTGAGAGGGGAAAGCGGAAGGAAAACTAAATTACTTTACTCAATAATACTTAAATATGGATACAAATGGGGCAAAAAGGGAGAAAAATACTAGCAACCTTTCCATTTCTGATGGACGCATAAAACAACAAAATATTTAACATACCTTCCCCTTTCATTCATCAAACTGAACTTTTCTAAAGATAAAATTCTATTAAAACCCATGAATAACAGTAATCTGTATTTATTTATTTTCAATCTTGAGGTTATCAACAGCTATTACCAGGAGTAAACACATTCTGCTGATGCTACACCCACATTCATGTGAATATGCATAGATATGATACACATGACTACCAACAATGGTAAATCAACATCTAATCCAACCTTTCTAAAGCATGCTATGCCAGAAAATTAAGGATTACTGCACAATTATAGAAATATTTATTGAAGGAAAGACTACCAGAAGGAGTGCTCTTAGTGCAGCTGCAAAAGCATGATTGACGAGGCCAGTCTTGAACTGGGATCTCGACTCGACAAACTGACTAACTAATAAGTAGCTCTCACACAATGGAATAATCCGTTTCGCAGAGTCCTGCAATGGTATCTTTAATCAATTAAAATATACACAGCCTAAAACTTCACGCCATATCAAAAGCCCCTCAAAATCAACCGTCTCTCTAAACTTCAAATCTGACTCAGATATTTTGCAAAAATAGCAAGGCTCTGCAGCCGATAAACACAAAGACCTAGGATAAAAAAGATAAATTTCTACCTGAAGCGCCAAATCCATAGATGAGTCAACTTGGAAGATTACACTATCGTCCTTTCCTCGGGCTCTCTTGATTGAAATATATCTTCCTTCAATTCCGATCAAAGAATATAATAGATCATCAATAACAATCAATTCCTGCATAAAAATGAGCACACAATTTTTATAGTTTCTCAAAGGCTGAAGCAGATTCAAATGTACCTGAGAGGCAGCATTACATAAGGCACATCTAACAAAATAAATTACAGTCGGGTTAGCTTTAACTCTATTATTGGACTAAGGATCCTAAGTACGGAAAGATGCGAACCACTGTGCAAAAAATAGGCAAGTGTACAAAGATTTGAGGCCCTTCTCAAACTCATATGCCAGCCCCCCTGGTAGCATCATGAGTATTTTTCTGTCTTATTACCGGATAGTCCCAACACATGGAATATGCCAGGTGTAGTTTCATTGTAAAATTTCGATCATGGACTGCAAATATTACTGTTGATTGAAAGTAGGATAACAAGTAAAAAGATTTCTTGAAGTGCAATGAAAACATACCTGAATAGCAGCATGGTAACAACCTATGGGCTTGTCCACACCGGGACTGCATATTAAAACAATGATAGTAATATAGTGGTATTAGTTGTAACAGAAAAAAATTGGATGGTATCAAAATATTTGTGCCCAATAAGAAAATCAAATTTCATGGGAATAGGAAAATAAAAATAACGGCAAATATGCCCTTGTTTGGGCTCCATTTTATTCAAAATGCATTTTTTTCTACTTCTTTTCATCCACACATTCTCCAATAAAATGATATTACATGTAAATTCAAAACTTGTCCTTTTTTAATTCTTCAAAAAATCACTATTTCAAAATAAATTTTCTCCAAATTTTGATTTTAAAGTCCAAACAAAGGCTATAGAAACAGTAAAAAAGTCAATTAAACGACAATTACGAATACCTGAAGTGATCAGTAGAAAAACCCTTTGATTCAGGAATTCCAGATGTAGATTTTGTTTCCTAAACAAAGATCCGTAAAGAATAATGAAACCACTCCTCAGAAATTTAAACATCAAATCGTAATAGAGTGGCATATTAAGAAAAAATCAAAACTTGGTTGCCCAGGACAATAGAAGGTTAAAATTAAATTAAGCCCGTGGCATAAATAGAGAACAAAATTAGCAATAAAAGTAAAGTAATTTACACGTGTACAGAAAAGAATATACACCTGGTGGAATCGGCCGGTGAGGAATGGTCGATCCACATTCCATTTGGGAGTAGAAGGGCATGGAGTGGCTATTGTTGAATCCATTGCAACAATTTAAACCCTAGTAAATATATGTACGTATATGGGAGTATAAATTGAGCATAAAAATCAAATTTTTTGTTAAAATTACAGTGTGCTGCTGAAGAATTATCTGAGTTGTGTGAGTGAGCCAGTGATTGACTCAAGGGAGTGAACGAGGGTGTGAAGAATGCTCTCTCTCTCTCTGGGGGGAAGGAAATGTATTTGCAGGTAACCCCGCCTATTTTTCAAATTAATTTTTGGAGATTTTCGTTTGGCATTTGGACACAATAATAATAATAATAATCTATAATATATTAAATATCGGAGAATTATTTTCTGGACGATTTTAGCCATACTACAATTTAATTATTTTAATAATACCTTACTTTTCCATTTTCAATACATATTTAATTGAATATTAATTATTAAACATGCACGCAAATAAATAATTGAATTGTATGAGAACAATCAAATTGATTCATGAACGTTAAAATTTAATTAATTTGAATCAATGAATATAGAAAATGAATAATTTATATACATTTAGACAAATGACGCTATATCATAGATTAATCTATAATATATTAAATATAGTATTAAGTGAGAATCATTTTCTGAACGATTTTAGCCATACTACAATTTAGTACTTGTTTGGTAGGGATTTTTGGGGGAAGAATTGATTTTTGAATAGTGATATGATGGGAAATGTGTGGTTGAAAAAGAAGAAAAAATTATTGATGTAATGGAAAATATTATTTTATTACAAAATGTATGGTTGAAAATGAGAATTGATTTACTGTAGAATTTGAAAATAAAAAACAAACAGGCCCTTAATTATTTCATTAATACATTACTTTTCCTTTTTCAATATATATTTAATTGAAAATTAATTATTAAACGTGCATGCAAATAAATAATTAAATTATATGAGAACAATCAAATTGATTCATAACATGGAAGTTAATTAATTTGAATCAATAGATATATAAAAAGAATAATGTATATACATTTAAACGAATGGGGTGTAAGTGAACCAACATGAAATTTAATTAATTTGAATTAATAGATACAAAAATAATAATAATTTATATACATTTAAACAAATGGGGTGTACATGAACCAATATAAAATTTATTTAATTTGAATAAATGAATATAGAAAAAGAATAATTTATATATACATTTAGACAAATGGCTTTATAACGTGCAACGCACGTTTATCCGTGACTAGTAATAATAAAAAGGCAAAAAATTAATGTTGAAACCACAGTTGGTCACTACAGTTTCTAAATGTGTCATTTAAGTCGCCAATTTATTTATTATGCATAGATGACCATCAAACGTATGACCTTGTTTCACTTAAGTCACTGACTATGTATTGGTTAGCCGATGTAACGGATTTAGTGATGTAACCAACAATATGACTTTCTTAATTTACAATATACTTTAGGAGCTTGTTTGGTAGGGATTTTTTGGGGGAAGAATTGATTTTGAATAGTGATATGATGGGAAATGTGTGGTTGAAAAAGAAGAAAAAATTATTGATGTGATGGAAAATATTATTTTATTGAAGAATGAGTGGTTGAAAATATATGATGGGAAATGTGTGGCTGAAAAAGAAGAAAAAATTATTGATGTGATAGAAAATATTATTTTATTGAAGAATGTGTGGTTGAAAATGAGAATTGATTTACTGTAGAAAATGAGAATCCCTACCAAACAGGCCCTAGGTCCCCTATTCGGTTCTACTAGAAATTGGATTAAAATTTGAGCCAAATAACAATCAATTTTAGGCTTTGTCTGGCCCCAATTTTCTTCTTGCTTTTAATTCACATTCTGATCGTTGCACATGCAACGGTACACAAATCACATAAAGCTGCAGACTTTTCTCTCAGGGCTGTCAGACAAAAAAGGGCCAAAAATCAATTCTTCAATTTCACAATCTGCACCAGACAAGGCCTTAGTCTCATATCGCTCTAAGTTAACCTATGCTTGGATTGGCTAAAAAATATTTATGATAGATTCTGATAAAAAATGAAGAAATGCATAATTAAAAAGTACATCAAAGTTATGAGTATCATAAAATCTGTGATTGAAAGTGTATTTAATTATTAAAGAAAAAATGAATTTTAAAACTTGGGGCCAAACATGAACTTATTTAACTCTCTCTCTCTCTCTCTCTCTCTCTCTCTCTCTCTCTCTCTCTCTCT